TAAGTAATTATAATTTGATTCATCATTATATATTTCTGTATTCGTCTGCACAATCAATCTTCGAGTTGTGTTGCCATTGGCGGCTTGATAAGAAAACTGAGTTACCTGAGTATTGTACTGACATAAGTTGAGCTGCCATCTGTTTGTGCATGAAGAGCTTTTCCCATGGAGGATTCTGGAAATTAAGCAATAAAAACAACATTGAAATCGCTGTAGGAACATGGGGGAAAAATAGATATTGATATCGACAGTAAAATGACAKTGAACTGATCATTGATTTTCCTCATAAATATTTATTCAATGTTCAGGTTTGGCTGAATCTACGTTAAAATATTTCAGTTGGCATTAGTTTAGTCTGCTACATTTTCTCGATTGTCAAAATAGCATTAAAAACTTTCATTATAATTACCACAAATGATATCCAGTGCACATAGTGTGATCTTGGGAAACATATCTATGGTGGCACCACCATCTTTGCACTCTGACTGAAAGAGGTAGTCAAATGTAATACGACTGCAGATTTGGAATTGCCAAATGGMAAAAAGTGAGAGTTCTAACTAGAGTGTGCATGATGGTCATTGAGCACACAGGAACTTTTAGGATACAAAGTAACTCGCACGACTGACACGTAAAGGGGTGCTTTCCATACACACCTATTTCAAAAAAACGYTGTCGTCGCCAGGACACAGTCCACAGTCTTGAGACTGCAAAGAATTTCRGGATTGCCATATATATTATATGTTCACTTTCAGTTATTCAACATTCTCGATCTTGTAGAGAATATAGCTTTATGAAGCTTGGCCCGCTTATTGAAGACATGGGACTTGTTTGATTGTTTGCCGCAATAGAACAAAATCCCACATTCGCTTTGATGAAAACGAAACTATTACAAAAGATAAAACTCGATCCAACCTCGAAATGAAACCATTGTTTCGTGTTCATCCAAACGAATGTGGGATTGGTCTGTTGAGTTCAAACCACATAGGCAAATATGTTATATTAGGCATTAAAATCCCGAGATTCTTTGCAGGCTCAAGACTGTGGATTGTGTCCTAATGACGACAACGTTTTTTGAAATAAGTGTATATAGCACTGGACGAGACGCACAACATTTACTCTAGGCAGGATACTTTGCTTGGACYATCAAACAAATCGAGTATTCTGGAAAGAAAGATGAACACATTGAGTTACCTTTAATATGGAGATGAGTTCGATAGACTTGTCTTCAAACACTTGAATAAAATCATTCAGGATTTTGAAATGAAATGTTGGAGTTATCAGTCTGCGGCGCTTCTTCCACTTTTTCGCAGAACTAGTCAGATAATAACAGTGCAAACATTAAATGTGTGCAACACTTTCCACTATTTACTACAAAATAGTGTTAAT